AACACAAGACTGGCAAATTTTAACTTGCTTTCCAAATCAGCACTAAAACTTCAGATATGAATTTATTAAACACAAAACATAAAATTGCAAATTGTCATCTGGGCCTTGGATATACTCCTTTAAAGTTTTCAAAGTGCTTTTAAACAAAGCTCGCATGCTTCAGAGTACAGGAACAGTGGTTGTGTTAAATCCGTTATTGACAACTGCATTTCCTTCCTCAGTAGTTCTTTTTTTTTTTTTGCTACTTCTACTTCTGTCGCCACTTTTCAAACCGTACTGCTGACTAGTGTTTTGGCTGTGAAATTGTACAACAAGGAATAAACAAATGTAATTGCTGGCAACAGCACTGTCCATTTATGTTGGATACATTGTAGATTGAGCTTTAGAGGTACCCAGAAGAACGTGGGTTACAACTGTAAATAACAAACAAAGTCATTCCAGGCTGAAAGCTCAAAATGCAAATAGTCGTCCAGGAGGGCAGACAGAATATGCATTAACAAATCTGTCTACCTGTGATGAGGAGGTTAACCAGTGAGAAAGACTGATAAACACCAGCAATCTTAATGCTTTCAATAGACATCCAGGGAATGCACATGACGTCCCATTAACACCTTTCTGCCTCTTTTGGAGCGGTTTCCTCTGACAGATTCTCTCTTGTTATACAAAGTAGAGATGTGTTTGGGGTCTCTGGGGGAAGGTTCACACTTGGAAACTGCCTCTTGGGTGATCTGATCGCATATGTACATGCATCACTGCAGGTGTGAAGAATAAGTGCTTATTTCATCTTCTGTGGTTGTCAGGTTCTTGTAATTGTAACCTCTTAGTGCCTAGTGTATCATATTTGATACATGAGTCCTTATGAGACTCATGTAAAACAAACCTGTGTAATTGTACAATACATTTTAAGCAATGCATTGCAAAAAGACTTATGATACAAGTTAGAACTCATAAATGCAAATTCTTTTTGTCATTTGTCAGACAGGTGAAGAAACACTGATTTGTTTAAAGAAAAATCTGATAATTATGTCATTAATGGTTTAAAGGGTTAAACTGACTTCAAAGGGAATGCAGTATTTCTGGAATACCGCCTGCTGTGTGCTACACACCACCAGTGTTGGGACTAACGCGTTATTAAGTAACGCGTTACAGTAACTACGTTATTATTGTGGTAACGAGCACGGTAACTAGTTATTATGCCAAAACCGGGAACGCGTTACTCGTTACTGGGATTTAGATAGGCTCGTTATTCGTTACTTCGTGTGGAGGCTATCGCGGAGCTTCCACAGATTCAATAACATTAGCAAGTGGTGGAGGCCAGCAGGTGGATGAAGGAAAAGGGAGGCAGAGGAGAGACCCGAAGCGGCCGCTGGTCCGAGAGTGTCAGGTGAACTGAACTTCAGGTAAGAAGTTATGACCTGCAGTCCTCTGGGTCAGATATGAACCAAGTTTAGGTGGAGTTTATTTTCGTTATGCTGACTTTTTCGTACTGCGTGCTAGCTAGCATGACGGAGTTTCTATACAGCTGGGTGGTGCTATGTTACTGATGTTGAACTTTATTTTGTTCATAGGTTAATTATTAGAGTTGCCAAGCCGTCCTGTAAAAAACGGAATCGTCTCGTATTCAGAGAAAATATTACGCGTTTCGTATTTAGGTGAAAAGGAACAGTTTGTCCCGGACTTCAGCTACAATGAAAAAGACACAAAGCTGGAGTTATTCTGTGTCTTTGCTGCACAGCTGCCTCTTCTCTCTCTCATCTCTCCCCCTCCCTCTCCTGTTTCTACTTCAATCATGAAACTGATCAATGATCAGCTGATCGGCTTTTCTCTCTTGTTTATTTATCGCCCACTTTGCGCCAGAAAGAGGAAACCAGCGGATGTCGCGTTAAACAACAGCAGCACTTTTAAGCTTGATCAGCTGTTGTTAGAATTTATTTAATATTAATTTCTAGTATCAGCTGATGTTTGCTGGAGCCACAGCTGTAAAGCTGCTGGTCATGATATCGGTTTGGATATGTGGTGAGAGGGAAACATGAAGATGAAACCAGGAGATGTCCTTACTGAATCATCAGAGCTGAACAGGTGATGGAGAAACAGGTTTACCTTTTAGGTGACATGAATGAGTTGAAGGGAAGTTATGAACTGTTTCTGAGAGACAAATAACACCAGGATCCTTTTCTAAGTAGCTGACAGCTGGTAACTGTGCAGGGGCGGGTCTAGCAAAGTGTTGCCAGGGGTCCATGTAGGGCATTAAAAGGGAAAGGGGGGCACAAGGAAATACTTTCTTATTCTCATTTAAAATGTCTCACTTTTAAAAAATAATTATGAGTCTTACAACAAACGATTGATAGATTGATGCATATATACCATCAGAACAGTGTACATCACTGTCACAACAGTGTTTATTTTCATTCAAAGGCTTTATGATTTTTCCTATAATGGTGGAAAAATGCCCGGGATGATTTTTTTGTCCCAGTCCAGCCCTGTAAGCAGCTCATCTGCAGTCTGGTGTTACCTACATCTTCCTATTCAGAAGGCAGAATTTCAGAGTTCTGAGTACAATCGAAAGCACCACGACTGCAGTTTTTGTGTTGGATGTAAAAAGCAGGCTAGGACAGAATCAGGCGTGGGATTTCTCTCGTGGAAATGTGCACATTATTTTTTCCTTTCTATTGGTAGGTGGCACAGTGCACTTGTGGCAAGTAAGCAAGCTAGAAGACTGGCAATCTTGCTGGGTATCCAGTTACGGAAGCAACACATTAACAAGAGAATTCTGAGTTAAACCAAAGTTACTTTCCCTAGTAACTAGTTACTCTGAAAGTAACGAGTAACTTGAAGTAACTGAGTTACTTTTGATAGAAGTAACTAGTAATGTAACTAAGTTACTAATTTAAAGTAACTTACCCAACACTGCACACCACACATCCCAGCCTGATTCTCCTGACATTGTCCACAGTTCATATGAGAAAACGGCTTGAGAGGAGCTGATGCTTTTTAAAACATTAACAACCCCTTTGACTCATTCTGGATGATATTGCTGCATTTCCACACATCTCTGATAATACGGAGTAAAGTTTTAATGTTATACATAAGAATTTTCTACAAAAACGCTAATTAATATGGCTCTTTTAAACTAAAACCAACTCAAAGCAGATTGGATCTTAGCTTCTATGTTCAATTTGAAAACATGATGGTGATTCCTACATGAATTTACTTTAGAGTTATTCCAATAATCACCTAAAAGTGGATTTAGGAAGCTTTATACCCACATCAGTTACATCAGTACTCTGTGCTGAAAGTAATTGAAAAAAGCAAGAAGAAACTGCAATAATGGAATTATACATTTTTTAGACACCATGTGGAAAAAGCTGACTGATTAGATTTGGTCTACAAATCTAATCTTAGTTAGTTTTGTCTGCGATGGTCACTGTGTAGTGAAAAACCTAAATAGAGAGCTACATTTCAAGTATTTCTATAATAGAGATCTTAATAGAAAAACGTGACCTAAATAGATGTTCAGACCAAAGTTAGCAACACATAAAAAATGTATATGTCTGCAATGGTGGAGGCATATTTTACAGGAAACACTGGGCGATGCAGTAAACTGCAGAATAAATGTTTACATTATAGATGAATGTGTGCTTGTACGTCTTTGATATCCTGCCACATGAGACGGGATTGCGATGGGGCAAAGGTGAATCCGGTTTTACTCACATCACCGTGCCGTGTATGCCAAATAAAAGCCTGGAGAGCTGAAATACATATTTGCATTATTCACCTCAAAAACCAAAGAAGGCGGTCGAGGGAAGTTAAACTTTTTTTTGCTAATTGAAACTGCATTGTTTAGCCTGGGGCCTTACCCCACTGTGCTAACTGCTGTCTCATTTAAATGAATGAGGTGGCTATAGCTTTTCATGCAGTGCTGTTGTCGTCGTGAACGTTAGTGTTTGCCACAACCCCCCCGCCACCCCCACCCTTTATGTGCACCACCTCTTGTTTGTTTTTGCAAATTTTAGTTTAACAGCTTACTTCCTTCATATGTTTTGGGTTTAGCCTTGATTTATGCACTGTAGGATCTTTTATAGCGACGCCGTGTTAAAGAATCTGTAGGCTAGACAGAAGATGTTCTTACATCCAGTAGAGATGAACCATTATAATGCTGAACATTGGCATTGGCTAAATGTTCAAAGCTAATGAGAGAGGTCAGTTATATTGAGATATAATAATGGTTCCCAGGAAAAATGAGTATTAAGAACAATCTCTGCATTTCTGTTATCAGCAGTGTTGTTGCTATTTTATTGTCATTTTACACACTTGTAGTGTTTTTTAACCTAAGCATTGATAATATTCAGCAGTATCAGTATAATTTACATATTGCATCATCTTTCCTAATGAATCTAGAATACCATGCATTTAAAAAAATGTATGTCTATAATTATAATAATCATAATGGATAATGTATGTATAGTAAAGGTTTCCTAAAAGTAGCATGACTACGATGACCTGGATGACTGAGAACCTTCACAGACATACGATGAGTAAAACAGAAACTCCTCAGTGCTTCTAGGTATAAAAACTGTATATCCCACAATATATGGACACACTGCAATATTATTTTGAATGAATATGTGATGTTACAATATCAACCTCAAACAAAGGAGATATAAAACATAGTGCAAGCAAAATTCCCAAGTAGAGTAGTTGCATTTATATAAGTAAACATTAATACATACAAACATATATATATATATATATATATATATATATATATTGTGTTTTTATTGATTTTATTAAAGTTGCCTTTTTCTTGGCAAGCCCATGTAAATGATCATTTAATCAGTCATGAAATATTCCTTTTTGTCTTTTTTTTTAAATCACAATTCGAAACATCATATCAAAAATATTTTCTACATCGGTTCAGAAGAATTTAAAATTAATAATCTTTTTTTTTTCATTTTTAATGTCTTAAACTGCAAACTGGGGTTTTCATAATACCTTTTTTAAAGATAGTGTTATACTCAAACTTGTTAATAAAGTGTAAGATCGTGAAACTGGTTCCTGACCAAAATATTACAGGAAATGTGTAATGAAATATGTATTTATCCCAACATTCCTCTGGTATTTCCTTTTTTGAAACTTGGCTACATCCATCCAGAACATCTTTGAAATTATACAGTGAAAGAGATAAAAGATGGAGAATGATTTATAGTTTATAGAGCACATAAATCACTTACTATCACCCATTTTATCATTTTAAAACATTTCCAGTACATGTTTCTCTGGCTGAAATCTCTTTGAAGATTTCTATTATTGAAAGGAACTCCCTTAAGTTTGTTGCTGATATTTTTCTGTGTACATTGTTTATTTAAAACAAACAATTAACACAGAAATACAAACAGTTGAAGTCATTTGTAATGTAAAAACCCAAATGTACTATTTTCGGGTTTTTTCTCCAAGATAAATTTCCTCGACGTCATGACGTCAGACTTTGAACTCCGTTAACCGGAAGAGAAGTGTCGCTGTGTGTGTTTTCATGTTTACATTTGGGGCACCGCGTCAAAATGAATCCCCCGATGATCATCTCGACCAGCTCCGTGTCAACAACAAAGAGTAAGACCGTGTGAACCCGCCGGCATCTTTACTGCGCTGCTGAACAGAAAGCAGAGCCGCTGAAATGTGCTCAGTTAGCTGTTAGCTGCACACGTTAGAGAAGTCTGTGACACAGCAGAGAGTCCCCTTTGATTCAGTTTAAGTCCGTTTTAAGCCGTTGAGCTGTCTGTCAGTAAAATGCAGAATGACTTTCGCTTGCTATGTCATAAGCACGTTTGCTAACAGACAGTTTTCAGGTAGCAGGTTGCTCAGGTTTCCAGTTTCTGATTACAAACATAATCCTTTATTATGAAGTCCACTTGATACGTTTGATGGCATATTCTGAGCGTTTTAGCTGCAAGGCTCTCACACTTCGTTCTTAGCTGCAGAGACAGGTGTGACACAGTTATGTTACCACAAGTGCAGGGACAGTGTCTTTGCTGGAGCTCTCCAGTCCTGTTGTGTCAGTTAATATAGTTTGCAGTTAAGTGAAAAACTGCTGCAAACATACAAATTAAAGATGCAAAGTGCTGTTAGCCTTTCTGCTAACAGTGTAGTAAACATAGAACAATGTAGAACTGGAGAGATCAGATCAGTATCATTTAATCTAGCTGTGTGAGTCAGGACCAAACCACTGTTGATCCAAATGTCAGACATACACACCAAACTCTATCATCCCAAAGCTGGGATACTTGTAACAGCAGCACTGTACAGGCCCTCTATTATACTACTATGTAATAAAGTGCCATCACTCATTTCATTTATCGTATTCAGTCAGTATTAAAATATAGAATGTTATTTCCCCTACATGCACCTAATAAGCTAGCTCACAAGTGTTTTCACTTTTCAACAATGAAAAAATAAATCTGTATTGTACGTGTGCAGGGAAACGAGAGGCAGAGCGTTCGGTTAACTGGACGGCGGAGGAAACTCAGGTGCTCCTCTGCGCCTGGAGCGATGAGCGAGTCCAGAAGACTTTGGCTGAAAACCTCAGAAACCGGCATGTCTTCAAACACCTCTCAGCTCGCATGAGTGAAATGGGTTTCTCTCGGAGTCCCCACCAGTGCCGGCTTCGAGTCAAAACTCTCAAGGCTAACTACGTGAGAGCCAAACTGCAGAGAAGCATGGACAGCTCGCAGCCGTGCACTTTTAAATACTTTGCCGAGATGGATGCAGTGCTGGGCCGAAGGACAGGGGGAGGGGAAGGAGGGTCTCATTTTGTTTCACACCAACGGGTGTCAGAGGGCCACTTTGACTCCACTGATGGGACAGGGAGTTTTACCTCGGATTTAAATTCCAGTACAAACATAAGTGGACACCATTGTGGCTCTATGGGGAATTCAATGAGGCAAAATTTAAGCTCTTTAGAGGAGAGAGCAGGCTGTCAGCTGGACTCTGAGGTAAAGGTAGAGCACAGAGAAGAGTCGGTGGATGAGTTAGAGTACAGCGACACGGGATTCTCACAGCATCCGAGGGACAGGCACCACGAAGTTTATCTGGAGACAGCCATCCACCCGGATATTAACGGTATGTACTGTTACTGAAATAATAATGTAAACAAGACACATTTATCTTATTTTAGGAGCTAAAGTCAAGAAGATTTTTACATTTTGTTTAAACAGTACGGGTCGGAGATAGTTCCTCAAAATTATATCTGGATATTTCAAGAAGATTTGTGATAATGGTTTTAACAATGTAGGGAAAAAATGCTTTATTGATTCTTGTAGCTTGCAGGCCACAGCACTTCGAAGCGTCAGTAAATGAAGGGCATTTTTCATCCTTCTTTTGCAGCACTGCTACTGATGGCGATGCTCAGTAGAGTAATTACTTTTGGTCACACATCACCACCTACTATTTCGTCCTTTATAGCCTGGTTGTGTTGGTGTTTTGCTTTTGCCTCAGATGTTTTGCCTCGAGTGTGTTATTTCCCTGCATATTTTGCAGTGTCGTGCTTTATTTGAGGTCAGTTAAGTAGCTAAATATTTAGTTTCTAAATCATCAATGAAAGCAGACATGTTGCTCTCAGTGTCAGATATGCCTGGGCTTGGGAAGGCTATATAAATGATGTTGCAACGTGACACTTTTAAATGTCAAGTAATCATTTATCCCAGTATTATCGTTGATGACATATGGCACAGCTGTGGTGTGATAGACCCAGAAAGGGCTAAAGAATCACCAGGATTTGAAATGAGAGATGCTTTGTTCCAGATACGTCGGAACTTGGATGTTGAATGTGGGAGTGACATTCTTGAGTTAGTGGGTTCCATAAAAAGCGAGAACATATTTTTTTGGTTCTTAGCAATATGGAGTCTTTCAGGTATCACTAGCAATAAAGCATGATACTTTTTTTTTTTGCTCTTCGAAAGTGTCCGAAAAAAGCCTGTAGCTGTGTTTGCTCTGTTCTAAGCCCCTCCCACCAGACATGCGCAGCAGTTTGTGCTTCATATGATGCTAATTCAAGTCTTCAAATGAGGTTTTAACCTCCTTGGTGAAATTCCTCGACTACATAACTCTTTATATTCTATTATATTTTTCCCATGTGGTATTATTGTTGTACTCTGACCTGAACAGGTCTGGAAAGCCTCTTTCTACAGGCTCAAAACGTAAAGCTTGGAGGAGGAGAAGGACACTTGTTCCCTCTGAGTGCACTTGAGTTATAACAGGCTGAATGTTTAAAGTTGAGACAGACTTCATGCTAATAACCAAACAATTGTGAAAATATTTGTGGTCTATTAATCAATCCTGTCATTAATAACACCATGCATGTATTGTTTTATATCCTGATTTGCAGGTACAACAGTGGAAAATAGCTCAAGCACTCCTTCTCCACATTTGGTCCTACCTCTGCCTGCTCCTCCTGCTCCCACTCTTACCCAGTCCACTGCTTCTCCTCTCCCAGCACCTCCAGATATAAACCCCAACATCCTCCCTGCCTCTGCCGACCATCACCCTGCACCTTCCTGTCTCGAACCTGTCCTTAAGCACCTGTCAGAGTGCTTCCAGCAGCTGGTCTCTGAGACCCGGAGCTTGCTGGTGCAGCTGGAGAGTCAAAGGCAGGAGCACGCCCGATGGCACCAGGAGCTCCTGGCCCAGTGGCTGCAAAGGGAGGAACGGCGGCAGAGGGAGACGGCTGAGAGGGAGGAGAGGAGGGAGAAAGCTCGCATGGAGCACGAGATTAGAGTCCTGGAGCTCCTCACCAATCTGAGCAAACAGCAGGGGTGTAGCTGTGAGGGCAGCCGGACTTTAGCAGGGGGACAGGCTGCTCCAAACCATACTAACAAAGACAGGAGTTAGGAGTTTTACAGTGGCTGACCCAAAGTGCGGACTGATATTTCTTCTCAGGTGGACACAAATAACATTAGCAATGAGGCAAGCTCCCACAGTCAGGCCAGCCCGAATCCTGAGTGGGAGATTTTAGTTGAGCCAAGTGCACAGATACCCCCCCTTCCAAAAAAAAAAGAAGCGGAAAGTCTGTGAGAATAATATGACTGCTACTGTTACTTTGACATTTAAAGGCCCAGAAATCCAAAAAAGCGGAAACTACAGTTGAAGTGTAAAAGAGGAATTTCTTCTTGTTCTTGCAGTCACACTGCTGAGGGGATTTCTGTGATGTCAGTGAATTTCGCCAAATGTTACAGAGTTGTTTCGATGCACTTTCACAGAAATTAAAAGTGTATATTTTTCAACCAGTTTCGACTGAAATGTGTTTTTCACAAATGACTTGTTTCAGTTATTTATCGCAACTGTTGAGCCAAAGTAAGAATCAGTCGGCATCTTCAGCGTGTTTGGGTTCAGTGGTGGCGTCCTGAAGTCTTGGATCTAGATCAAAGCTTAATTATTCATACAAATAACCTCTCTTACTTTTGAAGCAATGTGAACCAACCTTGAAACAACAACAGCAAAATCAAATCAAAATATTTAAGTCAGTGAACAGGATTATATGTGTGTGTGAATTGTAGTATTAATAGAAATTTTCCAATATACCACATTAAAAAGTGACTCCTGTTTCTAATCCAGATGAAAATGATAAACAGATGAATAATTAAATCACAGCTTTTGCAATAACTGTGCAATAAGTTGCAAGTATGAGATGTTGTCCATGCTGTGTGACAGCACATCAGATCTCCATTCATATCAAACTTGCTTCTGTTACATGAAAAAGTCATTAAAAATAAACAGCATTGACAGCTTAGCGGTAATAGACGACCATAACAGACTAAAGTCAAAGGGCAGATGCGATGAGAGAGTCGCAGGTTTGATTCCTTCAGTGTTTACTCAGTTTGTCCCTGCGGTCCATTAGCAGGATGCGGGGCTGTGACCTGGCTGCTACAGGGGGGGGGTGACAGAAAGAGGCAAACAGTTTACTGTAAATTCCTGACGCCTGTGTTTGATGCTCAGTGTTGAAGCTATTTTGGGAAACTAGCACAAACATACAGTGAAGTCTGTTTATTTACGTCTCCGCGGGAACATTTCATACTCAGCATGTCAGCCTGGATGTTACCCCCGCTAAGACCTTTAGCGCAGCTCCGAGACTCCAGGCTTCGAGTTTCTTCGTTGCTGTATCAAACGAGCTACACCTGAACAGTCCTTTGCTGCGATGGTGTATATTGTCTTCCTGCAACACTCGGCAATTTTCTCACACTCATGGGAGACATTTTTATTAAACCTCCAGGCTGTGGCTGGCTCCATGCTGATTCTTACCTGAATAGACAAACTGGAAATTTTTCACTCAGGCATTCAGCATTGTCTACCCTGAAGGGGTGTGAACAAGTTAAAATGAAAAAGCCCCACTTCCTTTTGACATGTATGAACCAGATTGTAATCAATACTGGTTTGGCTGGGAAAACCCAACCACTGGAATACTTACTGATGATATCTTCCTTATTGTAAATGGATAAAGTGAAACAAAAGCTGCCAAAACAAACAGACCCATCCCACCTGTCTGTTAAAACCTGATGTTTGTGTTAATAAAGAATAAGCCACACCTATCTGTGGACTAGCATGACCCACCATTACATTATAATCCTGCTGCATAATCCACAATAAGTGAACTTAATTAAGAACATTTAGAGGTCTTATTGCTCGTTTTTATCCAACACAAGTTCCTTGTGACCTTTATTCTTTGTCATCAGTATAAAAGCATACGCTCTGTGATAACTGAGCCACAGGCTATGACGATATATTCTTACAGGTGAACGGATAGTTTCACACACTATGGACAAGTAGTAGTGTCTATTGTACTTCATATAAGTATGTGTCTGTATATTCTTCAGTTTTGGAAATTTTTAAAAGTTGCATTTAAAGGAAACACTGTATATTTGACTATTACGTCCTAAATGCCAACTCTAACATATAACCATGTAAACATTTCCGACTACCTGGCAGGATTCGTAACGTGTTGCAGACCACCCAGATCCTCACGTTCACCTTCTCATTACTAAATTTCCATCTCTTGGGCCAAAGCAGACCTTTGTGCATGTGAAGCTGCACAAACTGTCACACTAATAAAGCACCTGGTTGGTTGTGGTCACATGATGTAAAAAAATATGAAAATAAAGCCTGTCTAGTTTTCTCTCGTGCTCCTTAACAGGACGGCCTCTAATCTCATTTACTTTCCTCTTTGTCACAGAGGAGGCCTTCATAAAACACACAAACAACTTATTCAAAGGTTGTTTTCTTGGTGATTTATTTCCTTTTTAATTGCAGTTTACAGCATGAGGAACAAATGCGCCCCAAATACATGGAAGTTTCAGTTAAATAAAAACCAACTGAGCATTACTTCCTGCATTTCATTTGTGCCTCGTGGTCTTCCCCACAGTGACTTCAAGCCTGATCTCTATGCAGTCATTTAAGCGAGAGAAAAGCCAGATTAGTGCATATACATAAATCTGCGCTAATCCTGGATTACGTAATACAAGTGGATGTTGATGAGATTTGGGATGATTTGCTGTTATTGTACCAGGGCTTATTACTCTGTTCATGACATGTGGAGAAAGTCATCCAGGACAGATTTCTCAGACTAAACTATCAATCAGTGCATCATCTTTGCATGACTCATGGTTCTGTATGTTCATCGGCCTGACTGCAGGGAGAAATGTAATCAGCCTGCTGTTGTTTAAAGCTTATAGGAACATTAAGGAAGCTTCTGAACAAATAAATATCAGTCAAAAATCAGTTTTGTTAGACGATAACATATTTTCTGCAGATATAAGGGAAGAAAATGAGTCATTTAAAGGTTCACTTGTACCGTGCTCCCAATTCTGCCTCCAGTCGGGCTTTCATTGATGCAAAAAAATTTGTATTTAATTGATGTGTCTAGTTGGACCAAAGAGTAATAACTAAAAATGCAATATTAGAATATACTTACAATGGCCCCTCTATCTCATAAGAGAGAACACGGCGGCATTGCCAAGATTAGAGTTTGCCAGAGAACACAGCATCAAAGGATTTAATACAGTTGTCACTTAACGATTGTGGTTTGCATGTTTATTTCATTTAATACGGATCCATTTTTCCCCTTTTTTTTTTCAAAGAAATCTAATATAGCAGCTTTCCACATAATAATGCAAACCAAAATGTTTAATTTTGCTACAAAAGGCAGCTTCCTTTTATGTCTCGCCCACTTAGAAACAGTTGTCATCTTGAGTTGTGTGGACAAATAAGAGAGCGCCAGTGCTGGTTTCAGGAGCTAAACGGGACTTTTTGTATGACTGAAGACAAAAAAAAAGCAGCTGGAAAGTTCAGTTTCTTCCTGCTTCTACAATTCTTTATTTCTACTAATAAAGTCCTATAATTTAATCAGGACAGTACAGGTAGCCCAAGTTTAGTCATTTCTTTATTACTGTAATTGTTGTCACATAGAGTTTGAAACTAGGGATTGCAGTTTGAGTTGGTGGGTTTGACAGTAGATGGACTCAATTATCATGCTGGGTTCACTGTGTTGAGACTACAGGTGTGATAACAGCACAAAAACAATGCAAAATAAGGATCGGATCCAAAATATGGGCTTTTATTCTTTAATAGTGGATTAGAAAAGATTATGTCAAGTGTACCAGAGTTCCCAGTTTGACCCAGTGGCCAAATTATCATCCAGAAAATTTCAAGCAGTCTGACGTCAGCATTCGATGGAGTGTTATGAACATTTTTTAGCAATAATCAGTGTGTGGCCCCCCACACACTGAATCTTTCTGATTATTTAACCTGCTGAATTTTTCTCACTCTCTACTATAAATGTTAATGACTTTGGTCCTCCTCTATGACGAAATGTTACCATGCTAACAGCTAAACTATGAGAGTAAACACTGTGAACGCTGCTGTGTGGCGCTTTTTCAAAGTCTCCATTCTGTATTTAGTACTTGAACAAAATTTGGTGATTGTTGGGTTACACATGGACGACATATGTTGAACGTAACACTGGAGCTGAATAGATAAAATTATTTACACCGGTTCTAAATAAAATGTTTCTTGTTTTTTAAGTTTTCTGTTTGGCCACTTATTTATTGTATTAATCTTTTCTTTCTTTCTTTTTCTTTTTCTTTTTTTCTTTTTTTTTTTTTACTATATTTTACTTGTGTTTTTTAAAGGTCTAACTAAGAATGGGCTTTGCTGATTAAAGCTATAAATTCATGTTCACCAGAGCCAAGTAAGTCAAAGTAAGTCAGTTCCCTTTAGTGGTTTTCACACTTTTCTCTATATAAAAACTCTATAAAAACAAAAAATAATTTTTAAAAAGAAGTTTTTGCAAATACAATATCAATGGTATATATGTTCTGCGTTATAACACTACATTCTTTCATTATTTTGAAAGGGAAGCAGCTTTTGCTAATAAAATGTTAGCATTGTGATTGTCCTGCTGTTGCTGGGTTCATACCTGAAATTGAATGCTGTAAATTTGCTTGTAGTATTTTTTTTTCTTTACTAAAATCAAAACCCTTGAAAACCCACGATAAACATGAAACACCATCTATCTAGGAAAAACAACTGAAGTTAGCAGATGTTTAAATGTGTATGTTTAGGCACCAGATGTGTAACTGGATGGAGAGACTGGGACTTCTTTGGTGTCTTTACCGTGTTTATTGTCTTCTTTAGATGTTGCCATTCTAACATGGTAACCATTACAAGTTCTAAACATGAGTATGCTAGAGCTGTCATCATTAGTGTGCTAAAGTTACAGCTGCAACTCAAAGCAGAAGCAAATTTAATAAAAAAAAATTGCTTGCATTACTCATTTCATAAAATCAGTGAGCTCATGGATTCAATAAAAACAACCTAAAACAAACCCTTAAACGCGAGTCACTTTCAGAATTACACCATAATCATAGCCATGCATAAAATTAATCTAATGTTGTTTTTAATTGTTTAGTTTTTTATTGATGCGTAAACTTCTTGGTTGAAATCTTTACTCGTCTCTATTTAAATATGCTCCCGTTTCTAGAACCACAGTCCATATTATCCGGAGTTTCCTTTGAAAGGGAATGGCTTCATCGGAAATTTCTGTAAATACAGCAAAGCTAAAATGAGAAAGGGAAAGAGAAATGAAATTGAAAACAAGAGATGAGACCAGGCAGGGAGGCAGGCAGGGAGGGGGCGCTTCTCTTCTCTGATTGGCTGCCGCCTCTCCCTCGCTGTGAGGTCTTCAGGCTGCTCGCGGCTCCGGAGCTCAGACCCGAGTGAATGCTGCAGAGGAGAGATAGAGTCAGCACTGCTTCATTTAGACGACTTGTTCTTGGAGCTGACTTGATCCTGTTGGCGCTGTGAAAGCGGGAATACACATTTTTTGTTCCCTTTCGCGTTTGCACCTGAATAATGGTGCACTGAGTGTCCGGAGCCAGGAGGAACTGCTGGGATTGACCGCCTGCTCTGCGCGTATGTGAAAGGAGAAATCAGAGGTTGTTTTCGCTTATTTTCAGAGGAGAGATACCAAAGAGTTTGTCCCTGGATTACGGCTTGTTGAGGTGAGTTGTGCGTGTTTACAGCCGGACAGTTTTTTGGTTGTTGAATGTTATTCTGCAGACCCGACGTGTCCAAAATGCGCGCAGGTGGTGAAAGAGCGCACTTTATTTCCAGCCAAACGTGAATCTGAGTGAGTTGATGCTTTGCGACTCTATTCCTAAATGATCTGTGAATATCAACATTGCACTTTGGTTTTGTTGTGTTCCTTTAGCACCTTTTCCCCAATATTAGTGCGCCTATATTGACTTTATCCTACTATTACAAAAAACAACCGTGGGCAGTAATACCCAAATTGACAGGCTTTACTAAGGAGCTATTTCTGGATTTTTAATTTTGCTTAATTGACCCAAAGACCTGCCCCAAAAATTGGATTTCTGAAATCGGTGTCAATGGCGGGCTATTTTTAACCCCCACTACCTTCTGGCTAAGAGGATTCCTCTCTCCCTGCCTCTCCTTTGCGAGACGGTGAGGGATCAGTGAAGTTAATCCCGCATCTCTCCTGGGTCACCCTGGCCTGCTGCGCTTGGTTTTTCGTGCCACTGCTTTGTATTAGGAGCATGAGTTGGAGTTTCCTTAATGTGCTGACAAGGTAAATCCGTTTATTGGTTATTTGGCAGGACGCTGGTCGTCTAAAAATGTGAGAGTGCCTCCTGGAAGCCCTTGAATGAGTTATTGTTACTGCGGATTACATATTTGCTACTGTACTCTGGAATCCCTGGGGTTGTGGTGGGATTTGCTTGATGTGAAGCAAATGCAGAAAAACAGATGCACTGGGGCGAAATGGGAAGTTTCCTCTCGTGAAATAAGGGTGCTGAGGCGGCAGGAGGGCTGCATTTCACACAAGTGGCCATTAAAAGGTGAATGTAATCACATGTACCTCAGCAGATCTTTGTGAATTATAAGCTGTGTTCATAGCTTCACCTTAGCTGTGTTTACAGACTGCTTCCTAAACCTGGGTCGCCTCTAGTTTTATAAGTTCAAAGATCAATAAGTAAGGAGCTAAAATTCAACATATATATGATGGAATATTTCATCTTATCACAGTCTTCTTTGCTACAGTTACAGCTGCCTGGTTGTTATGGAGATCATCTTTTGAAATTCAGAAGATGCCAGATTGGTTGGTCCGATCATCAGGATCAGGACCTGCTTCACATTTAAACATTGTTCAAACAGTAGTTTAATGTTTTCTGTCTCAGTACTTGCAGACCAGATCAGTTCACTCTTTCATCAAGAACAGACAGCCCTGCCATGGAGCTGCTGCTGATGTTTTAAGACTTTACCATCAGATCCTAAAGATTTGGAGTAAAATTCAGAAGTAGCAGCTGTAGGGGCACCGTTTCTGCTGTCAGGGGGTTCCCTCTGTGTAGGAAGCATTGGTGTCTGCAGCGGTGGAAGGATTCACGGCACTGCTGAGGACCGATAAGGCCAGGTGACAGAGTCCTATATGGAACCTGTGATTTTTACCACTCGGAGCAACAGCTGCAAACATCTCCCTCTCAGCTTATATCCCAGCACTCAACACTGGTGTGAAAACACTCAAGAGAGGTGACATAGCTGTTAGTGGCTGCACGTTATATGTTGATGTACTGCTGCTGGGTAGATGGAGGAGTGTGGCTCACCCTCTGATAGGACGTGTTTGCAGTTATAATAGTTCATACAATTTTAGCTCAGCCAGCAGGAATATCAGGGTCAAGGAGCTTTTTTAATGGCTGCTATTACATGTTAATCACAGCAGTTATGGCTATGTTTTTGCTAACCTCCAAGAGCAAAAATGGCATGGCAAGTCACATTGACAAGTTAAGACCAAGACCATGAAATAACCCAGAGTTCTTGGAGTCTCTCTAACCTCGTCTCCTTATTTCTGAGATAATGTTTCCACATCACAGCCGTATCTGGTTTGTTTTGATCCTACCTTTTCATTCCAGTGGTCTGGAACACTTATATTTTTGCTTAAAATTCCTGAACTTACTTTAATTTGAAGTACTGTTGACCACACTCTGGCTTCAAACAACACAACCAATGAGCCAGCCTTATTTAGATAACTTCCACTATTCCACTCCACTCTCCCGTGCCCAGCCACTCTGCAGCTATCTCTCACCCTCATTTCCTCGAGCCATGGATGAGTGAGATTCCTCATGCCTTTCAGTGTTTACACAGTGGGGGGACGTGGGGGCTGTTGATTTACTGCCTTAAAGTGTCTTGGTGCCTGCATTGCGTTCCCTTTACTGCCATACTGTTGTACTTTGTGCCTGTTTTTCTTATAAAGGGGGGAAAAATCCTTTTTTCTCTTCAGTATTTCATTTATGTGGGTCCCACTTTTCTGCCTCATTGCTGTTGCACATTTAAGGGTAACGGCAGATCTCACTGCTTTATTGCATGACCTGTGTACTTCTAAATAGTCATATGGACTGTCTGACTCCTGAGAAATTTCTCAGGTAGAGCACACTGGGGTGCCTAAACGGGGAACACGTCTGTTTCCTTGAGTTCAGCTTAAGAACTATGGGAGTGAAGTGCGGAGGCTTTTTTTCTGTACGATCTCTGCACTGCTGATGGACTCTCATCACAAGCAGTCATTAAAAGCATGGGTAGGGTGGGAAGAGCCCCCGTCGCTTCTTTGATAGCCTGTGTTTTGAGAGAGCAGACTGCATCATTCTCCCTCTGGGGAGCAGCCCCACCCGTGCGTTTTGGCGACAAAATTACCTGCAAGACCGCGTCATCGTTGGGTCTGCAGCCTGAAGGTAATCTCAAACGAATGCTGGAGTTTTGCTTCTTATATGACATTTGCCTGGGGAGGTTTTTTAAATGCTGACCCTCTGTGCTTTCAAATGTCCCCACGTGGCAACGGGAAGAGAGAAAAATAACATTTTATTAAGCTTTCAGTGAGTCATGGCCTCCTGCACATTAACAATATATTCTAAAAGTCCTTAAGTTTCATTTTTGGTCACTTCTTTCAGTTTGGAGAAATGTTGCAGGAGCAGCAGGTTATCACAAGGCAGTGCTGAGTCTGCGCTTTAACCAGCCTGTCGTCTTAGACACTCTGTCAAGTGATCATCTTTACTCTGATGTGTTTAAAAAGACAAAGATTGGCGTGGCTCAAAGTCTGTGGGTGTGCTCTTTCTCTCTCTTCAACCATCTTTTAACTGTTAAATGATTAGAAAAAACCAAGAGTGTGAATTTCCTTCAGTTTTTAAATCCACTTTAAGCCCAAACCAGACTTCTTTTACACATCGAGGCAGATGGCTTTGCACACAAACAACCAGTCAGGCTCTAATTAAAACCACCCATCCAACCTAAACAACCCCCAGCCCCTCTCACGGAGGCGAATTGTGGCATTTTGCTTGTTTATCTTCAGCTGCCGCCCCGGCCGGTGGCCAGGATAAACCAACAGCAACGTGCTAAGAGTTTGTTTTTGTCAGAGCCTGAGGACTCGACATGTGGTCCCCCTCAGCCTGCTACCACCACTCCTGCTACTACTACTACGACTGCACGTGACACCTGGAAGACACGTAAATCTCTCTGCCTCAGCTGTCAGAGCTTGCAAACATCATATGCTTT